ATCTAGGATGGCTTGAGGGTAAGTAAATCATGGGGTAATTTTCATTTTTGGGTGAACTAACCCTTTAAAGGGTCAGCTGGAACAGGAAATGTCTTGTTTTGAGCCAATCATCTGAGCCCTAAATCCCATGTGACTAATGCCGAGTTCACACTGCACGATTTTAGCCGATGGAAACAAATCTCACTGCAGCTGTATTCATATTTTTTTGAAACATGGACCAAATTGAATTCATTTGCAAGTAATCAAGTATTTGAGCATAGTTGGTCTCAGTTCAGCACATTGTGTGCGTCGGTACTTGACATTTTGTAAACAATAAAGGCCCGTTCACACCAAGGACGATAACTATAAAGATAAAGATATAGTTCTAAAAATCGTTCTCAATATTAAAGAATAGCAGAGAAAGGATATCGTTGGAATCACTTTCAGAACGATTTTTCTCCAGCTGATGAACGATAAAAATATTGACAGCCAATCAGAATCCATCCTGCTGTAACGAGCTCGAGAATTTAAAGCGGCAGACGCGCGTGCGCTTAGAATAAACAGACGATATCGTTCACTGGTGTGGACGCTAATATCGTTATCTTTATAGTTATCTTTATAGTTATTGTTCTTGGTGTGATCGGGCCTCGAGTCTTTTCTCATTCACTTGAGAGATAGAAACTAGTTATTTTTTCTTCCTCTTGTCTTTCTTTTTTAGATAAAATCTGAAAGAAACATTTCCAGTATTGTTAGATCAGCCATTGTCAGTGCTCAACAGCTGTGTATTTAGGACTGTTTCAGTGAGTTTGAAGAGCACTAATCTAATTTGGGCACAAACTAAGACAATGGACCAAAGAGTGGACTGAGACAAAGGTGGGACAAAATACAGATAAACACGCACATTACATTTCAAATATGGTTCCCTGTATGCAAACTGATACTGCATCTATTAAAATGCTTTAGAAGGGTCAGAGTTTCTACATACAGAAAAAAATAAAGAGTTAAAGTTTAACTGTGCTGATCAGTCTCACTGTGAGGCTAATCTGGTCATGCAAGTCAAGATTTCATTACCACATTTATCGGTTTGTTCCACCTGAAGCCTCAGTTGTGTTATCTAAACTATAATCTTGATGGTCTTGCTACATTTGATACTTTAAAGTTTGAGATTCTAAAGGCGAATGTGTTGGTCCATCTCAGGACAAATTATGAGAATGTGTTTTTGTATTTTGTATAGTATGTACCCTTGTGTCCCATCAATGGGCATTTTACGTATTTTTTTCCTCACGAGGAATGTTTTTACATTCATTTCACTAGTATTTGTTTCATGTCACTTTAGTTGCTGCTTGACAATGTTATTACTGTACAATGATGATTCATTTGAATTAAATTGTATTCCTGTTTATCATTTCCTATCTTAGTCCATGCAGATTTTGTATAAGGCTTTAAATTTTTCATTTGGTTTATAGTCTAAAGTGTTTCAATAACTTTGTGCTTGGTTAATTTAATTTTTTAATAAACTGATCCATTTGTAGTATTTAGTTGTTCTTTGTCAGGCATCATGTGAATGAAAATTCATCGGATATATTTAATACATGTTAACATTAAGAGAATGAGACATCTGAGACTAATTACAATTTTTATTATTTTAAATATTCATCATACATCAGGCTGGGCAAGTGAGTTAAAATGGCTGAAGGCTATTCAAATGCCCAATTGGTAGAAAAAAAGGAAATATAAATAAATACTCATATTTATACTTTCTTAAATACTTAGCTGTGAGGCTTGTAAAGCATGCAGGAAATCTATTTTTGCATTTACTTAATTTGCAGAATAAATCAAATACAAAACCTAGCTACTAGTCTGATCAAAAGAGCCAGAGAGACTGCATTACTGAATGACATCATCAGTGAAACTCTCACGAGGAGAAAAACATGCTCAAGTTCCTCAAATCACTTGTAACACAAAGTAGCCCATGTCACTACCGTGATCACGACACATACGAGTGGATGGTTCAGACATTCATGCCTCATTCTGATGACAATCCTCTATAGGAGTGGTTTCTAAACCATCCATTTACCATCATTTTGTAGAGAACAAATTTAGTAAAGCACTATAAAAACTATGTGCAGTTATGCACTTCCCGGTAAACAGCTCTGTTGCTCTTGTAGTGCTGTCTGTATAGTGTAGTGTTATGGAGTGTGATCCGTCATCTGCGCATCCACAGCCAGCCGTTGATCAGACAGGCAGACAGTAACAGAGAGAACAGCACCAGCTCTGTCTGTTTGTGCTCTGCGTTCTGTCTCTCCACCCCTGCTATCCTCCTGCTCATCTTCACCACCTGAACCAGTCAAATCAAAGGAACACTATCAATGTGATCCACACTATCCATACTGTTTTTGCTGCTGAATATATTTTGTGTAAATTTAATGTGTCCTTGCTATATAAAATTATGAATCTGCTCAAAAAAAAACAAACTAAAAAAGTAAATCAACCAATATTTTAAGGGAAAAAAAAGATCCAGCTCATTTGCTTGTAAATTGGACTACACTCCTCATATTGTACATTTGTGAGCCTGGACCACAAAACCAGTCATAAGGGTCAATTTCTCGAAATTGAGATGTATAAATAAGCTTTCCATTGATGTATGGTTTATTAGGATATGACAATATTTGGCTGAGATGCAACTATTTGAAAATCTGGAATCTGAGGGTGCAAAAAAAATCAAAATACTGAGAAAATCACCTTTAAAGTTGTTCAAATGAAGTTCTTAGCAATGCATATTACTAATCAAAAATTAAGTTTTGATATATTTACGGTAGGAAATTTACAAAATATCTTCATGGAACATGATCTTTACTTAAAGGGGTCATATAATGCGATTTCAATTTATCCTTTCTCTTTGGAGTGTTACAAGCTCTTGGTACATAAAGAAGATCTGTAAAGTTGCAAAGACTAAAGTCTCAAATCCAAAGAGATATTCTTTATAAAAGTTAAGATTCAACCACGCCTACCTAAAACGGCTCTTTGGCTATTGCTACAAATATACCCCAGCAGCTTAAGACTGGTTTTGTGGTCCAGGGTCACATTTGCTTTTCTGTCCTTTGGTAATATGACTTTTTTTTTTTTACCAAACATGATTCTAATAACAATTTGGCAACATAAACTCTCAGCTAAGAAAATCACTGTTGACCAAAAGCTAGCTGACAAGATATCAAAAATATCACCAGGTCAATTAATAGCGGTCAATGTTTTAGTTTTTGATTACAGACTTTGGCTGCTTTTTTATTAATTTAGTTGCCTTTATCCAAGTGTCTAACAAATGAGAAACATCATAAGCGAGTTTAAAACATTTTAAAGGGGTCATATGATGCTATTTTAAAGATCATTATTCCTTTCCATAATCGCCAGCTTCAGCTTTCAACATAGATGTAAAGACAGTACATAATGTCCTTAGTTTTACCATCAGTTCAAGCCCGAAAGGGGAACAGAGTCGCGTGACAGACGCAGTGATGATGCTCGTATGTATTTGCAGTACACAAGCCTGTAAGAAAAAAGCTGAAAGAAAGCTGACTCCACTGTGATGTGACCCTGTCTCTCTCTCACGAACACACAAACACACACAACGCGATACTCTACACAGCGCAAAACTCCGCATTTGAACAGTCAATAGCAAATACTTAAACTATTAAGAAAACATACTTACAGTAGCTGACTGCTGTTCCTAAAACCACGCCTTCTTTCTGTGCGAGCACATTTGGGCGGCATTACGCAAATATTTCCACATCGTGACGTAGATATGTGGGGGCGTGTTTGAATGAGGCGTTTTAGCCCAGTCTGGATCAGCCTTCTCTTTTAGATAGAATACATCAGTTTGTGGGAGACTTTGAGCTTTGTAACTCTGCAGATCTTATACATGCACAAATAGCTACATAACACACTAAAGAAAAGGAAAAATAGAAATCGCATCATGACCCCTTTAAATCTATATAACAGTTAGTCCATGTAACACTGTCAACTACAGATTTGTACATTACTGTATTAAATACATTTTATTCATACAAACTAAATAAAAAATATTGTATATATTTTGTAATGTGTATATAAACTTCTGGTATACTTGACATACAAAATTAACCTACACAATAGAATAGAAAAAGCCTAAGCCCAAATGAATGCATTGTTTCTCAGTGAAATCTGAACATATGGTCGGTGTGAAGCTCAAGCACTCACCTGTCTGCGGAGCACCATGAACTCGACAGCAGTACCTGTGTCCTCCTCAGGACTGAGCCAGAACTCCTGCGAGGCACTGTGGGACAAAAAAATGATGTTAACAAAGGCTTCAACAACTTTCCAATGAAACGTACATGACGCCCTCCCTTACATCATTGACTGATTTACTGAATACAATGGGCTTCCTCAGCACAATTAGTTGTGATAAAAACCCTACATTAACAACTAAACAGGAAATGTTTGCCTGCTCTTATAAAGGGGTCATCGAATGCTCATCTTCCCCTGCACCAGAGTCAACACAATGGCGGACTGATGACAGCTCACTCAGGGTGGGTCTAAGGTAAGACACCAGTCCAGTCTGTGCTGAAACACTACTGTCAATCAACTATCGTGGGAGGGGCCTGTACAGAACTACGTCATTCTGACAGGAATCTCAGAACAGCCTGGTTTGAGAAAGGGGATTTTAAAATAGGGATTTAAAAAAAAAAACACTGGATGGATTTTTATAATTATAGGATGGATGTGTACACACACTTCCAACATACATTTATGTTCAAACAACTTGAAAAGTGAATTTTGCATCCGATGACCCCTTTAAAGCACTACTGACTACATGGAAACTGCACAAGCCACTGTCAGTCACCTTGTCCTGCTTTGATCAGGTTGAACCTCCACAGCCTGAGAGGGATGGTTTTCTGGGTAACCAAACCTTAAAACACAATAGAGACACCAGGAACCACAGCAATCCACATTGAACATGATTTTGCCATCAATTCAATTCAAAATGAAAAGAAAGGGGGAACTAAATGCTCAGTTTTAGGATGCTTGTTAGTTGCTCAGGTAAAGCAATAGCAGTGAATTCAATCAAAGCCCAAAGGTCTGATGTAAATTTGCAGGCATGAAAGGTGTCTGACAGGAAACAATCTGATCCAGTTCCATCAGAAACAAGCAAACTAAACCAAACAACAGGGATTCAAAGGTCAAAGCAAACAGCTGAACAGCCCAGGTTAGTTCGAGCCCACAACCGCAGGAAGGGGACAGGCAGGACGTGAAGGATGAGGATCTATGTCACCTGGAGGAGTATTTTTTGGTTACGGTCTGGAGGAGTTTCTGAGACGCCTGCTGGCCCAGCTCCTTGGCGGCCTGCAGCATGCTCTGTGGGGACAGCAGGTTGGGTGGGATGGCGGGGTGCCCTGGGGACTTTGGTGGGGATGAGTCTGTAAGCATGACGGGTGGGCGTCCAATACTGTGGCTATTGCGGGAGAGTTAAGGACATAGAGGAGCACTGCTGTCATTTAAAGACTGATACTAAGACTGACACTAGCTGTAACACACAACCTGACAGTCTTCGTTTATATGGGTTTGTTTAAATAAACGTCTCATCAGATAAATGAGTCTGGTAAATAAGCTTCTCATTTAGCACAGAAGGTGATGGGAACTGACCAAATGTAACAATCAATCTCTCCTGCCCTCTAGTGGCTGTTTAGTGGTAGTGAGACATGTATGTACAGGCTATGAAATGGATACATACTGTAGTAATTCTCTGGTAAAATTCCAGGGAATTTTGTATTAGGGTAGCTGACAGTGAAATACATTTAGAAAGTTGTTTAGAAAGTTGTTTAAAACTAAATAAAAAAAAATAGCTTATTCTTTTACAATCATGCCACTTTTATGAGCTCATTAATTGCGAGACTACATGGAATGTTGTACTTGGGAAAAAAAATTATCTGTCACACCACAGGACCATTTAAAAATGACCTAGCAAAGGCAAACATGGTGATTAAAAACGTTAAACCTGTTACAGGACCTAAGATAAATACTTTCGCTTATACAATTTAAATTAAAATCTTTGTGTTGACCATAAAAGACCATGTAGGTTTATGTGTCAACCACCAATTTGTATATTACTGTGTTATGTACACTGTATTGATGTATATATTTCACAGCAGAGACATTTATAATGTCACAAAGCAGAAACGAATCCTGAAAAAATGTATCAATTATTTATCTTGACACACACACACACACATATATATGTATAGTGTACTTTCATTCTGATAATTAATATTTGTCAGCTTCTTTGTATATTTGTATATGACAGCATTATAAGTCTATAATAATATGATTGCCACAAAGTACTTCAACACTCATGTAACAAGGGAACTGGACTTACGGAGACTGGGAGCGAAGTGTTTGTCTGGAGTGTGTGGGGGTTCCAGGTGGGGTTCGACCAATAGCCTGGTCACTATAAGATCTTCGCAGTGGACTCTGTGTGGCATTACAAGAAATATCATGAACTGGAATGAATCCCTTCATGACCCTCATGACTCTCACTGACATTTATATATTTTAAGTGGCTCAACAGTTATCCAACAACCTTTAAACATTTTTACACCATTCTATTATTAATATAATATAAACTATAATATAAAAAACAAATTGTGATTGGACACTTTATGAGGCTGTCAGGTTGCTCTTTTAAGTGGGCAGATCTTGGCTAGAATAAGCTGCAATTTATGTCCGTTTTGCCATTTATTCAAAGGTTTGGCTACGTGAGGCTATGTGAAACTACCTGGACAGGCTCTCTCATGAACGCCTCCCTGTCCCAGGACCCGTGCTGCAGGTCCCACATTGATGAAGTGTGTTTAGTGAAGAGAGGTCGTGGACTCAGATCAGGAGTATCTGTTAAAAAAGGTAAAGGAGGAAATTGACTCTTGAGAGCTTTCTGACCCTCCATAGACAGCAAGGGTACTACCACATTCAAGGCACAAAAACGTAATAAGAACATTGTTAAAATGGTCCATGTGACATCAGTGGTTCAACCGTAATTTTACAAAGCTATGAGAATACTTTCTGCGCGCAAAAAAACAAACAAAAATAACGACTTTATTCAACAATTCTTCTCCCCCGAGTTACCATCTACCGCCATTACCGAGAGTAACACGACGCATGCGCCATGGTGGAGGATTTGCTACTCAACGGATCCGAAGCTCATTGACAAATATTTTATATCGTAAGATGAGCTCCCTTCACACAGAGTGCGCGTGATCGCGAAATCAAAAGTGAAAGTAAACAGCGTGAGCGCTCATTCAAAAGATTTAAATGCTCCCCATTGATAGCGGCTCCCTGATACAGAGCGGGCGGGACTGGCCAAACCTTGCAGGAGCCGAACACACACGTTGTCACTGTTTATGTTCAGAGGTAAGAAGACTGCTATATAGCGGTCGGGATATAAACTCAAAACGAAACAACTGCCATAACGATACTCCAATGTATCGATATTTTTTTACACCCCTAATTTTCAGTAAAATATTTCAATAAATTCAAAGCTACATGTCATTTGTCATTAGCGAAATACTACGGCACTGTTCATCTGCGCGCAAAAAAACAAACAAAAATAACGACTTTATTCAACAATTCTTCTCCCCCGAGTTACCATCTACCGCCATTACCGAGAGTAACACGACGCATGCGCGTGATGCTGCTGACGTAGAACCTGCATGCGCTGTGCCTTGTTTATGAGCAGAGGAAATGCGTCGTGTTACTCTCGATAATGGTAGGGCTGTGTATCTGCAAGAATCTGCCGATACGATACGTATCACGATACAGGGGTTGCGATACAATATGTTGCGATATATTGCGATACTGTAAGCAAGACGATATATTATTTTAGGAATAGGAGAATATGATATAATTTTAGGAAAACTGTCATTTAGAACACCACCATATGTGCAAACCTTAACAAAAAAAAAATAATATATATATATATAACCAGAACACAGTGGGATTTGCATTAATCTGTCCCTGTAACATTCAACGCTATTGAACCACTTTGTGTGCAGTACGAGTAAAAGGAGAACAATTAAGTACTTTCACTTGCTGGAGTCAGATTTGACTGATCATGGGTTGAGAGGAGGGATGACCTACAAGACCATGGTGGAGGATTTGCTACTCAACAGATCCGGCGCTCACTAATGAGGTCTTATTGTAAAGTGATACCTATTGGTCTTTATAGGTCTTTTGCACTTTAATCTGTGTAAAACTTTTAACTTTATAAATTTTTCTGTATTGCTTTATTGCATTTAAATGTTCAGTTATTTTTGTTATAAGAAAAAAGTTATTAAACCTGTTATACTGTATTATGGCAGCACTTTTTTTTTTACTAAATTTCAACATCGTGATAATACCGTATACCGTGAGAAAAGCATTAGCAATTAATTGCAACATGAAAATTTGATACCGGCATATCCCTACTCGCGTGTATCGATATTTTCTTACACCCCTAGATAATGGCAGTAGATGGTAACTCAGGGGAGAAGAATTGTTGAATAAAGTTATTTTTGTTTTTTTGCGCTCATATGTTCATTGCTGAACATAGTCTGAATTATGAGTATGACCAATATGAAATCTACCTGTTAAGGACAGTCTGTCTGGTATGTGCATGCTGTAGGCAGCAGGTAGCTCTTCGGATCTTTGGTCAGCAGGTGCGTGCGCGTGACGCGCTGGACCGACCCTCAGGCGATCGGGCACGCGCATCCTCTGGCTGATGTCCTCACTGAAGCACGAGTCACGCTCGCGCAGCGGAGGACCGTCACCGAAATACCTTGGACAAGCCATAACTACCCTGAAGCCAGTAAAGGGAATTAGACTGACCGCACGGCACAACATTCAATGTTAAGCTGCGTTACACGAGCAAAACAAACACACGGACTGTAATAGACTACAATAATAAAGTCGTGGTAAGTAATTTGACGTGTGTAAAGAACCATAGTGTAGCAAATACTCAAGATAGCAGCTGCTTGCTGATTGTAATGTATTCAAAGTGAGCGGTCAGTGACCCACAGGTCAGCCATCAAGATCATTCCCTCAAGACCTAACGTACAGTCTCCCAGATAGACGTCTAAGTAGTTAATTATACGTTTCACATTTCTATATAAAGCAACACACTGGTCCAAAACGAACAGACACCTGTTGATTACAGCTCGAGCTAAATTTGTCAACTCACACATCGTAATAATGTGTCCACGGCTTGGACTGAGCGGTTCGGTTTCGTTTTTCCACACAGACCTTTGAATATCTACTAGCGATACATTAGCAAACAGTAGACAGAGCGTTTAGGTGTTTTTGAAACTTCTAACAAGCTGTTCGACTCACCTTCATGCAGCTCACGTCGACTGACGTACGTGACGTCATATGACTGCGAACAAAAGTGGGCGGTGCAATGTGCATACATTTTCTGTCAGTTTCTGCTAAAGATAAAGATACTTAAAGCTATTGTGCGTTTTTAAATACTAAAAAACTAATACTAATCAATATCTCTTCTAAATATAGCAATTAACGTAATAGAACCTGTTCCTGTGACAGCCCTATATAAAAAGAGAGAATTTGACCGCGGCGTTAGCCAATCAAAAACTCGGTGTGAGTTTGGGGGCGGCCAAACAAACCTGCTGACCAAACAATCCTTCCTGTTTGGAAACAAATCGCTGACATCTGCTTTAAATAACAATACATTAGCAAATTCATATTCTTAGTCAAAAAAAAAAAAAACGAATTAATAAAAAAATCTGACATATATTTACAGCGTTTTCGTTCTTTAATAGACTATTATCCAAGAGCATCAGTGCTTTCGCAAAAAGGAAATTGGCACTTGGAACATTTAATTAACAGTGTGATCTCAGGGAAAGGAACAGATTTCTCAGAAATACAGATGTTTTGGCTATATAAACCGTGTTGTGTCCATAGATCCATATATTTGAGCAAAATGTAAACATGTAGTGTTTCTCTAACAGGGTTATTATAGTTAGCTAAATCTAAAACCATTAAAAAATATATATTTCAGCTCGTTAACCTAATGTAGCCTACTAAAAACAAACTAAAAAAAAAAAAAAAAAATACTAAAACCTACATAGGATGTACTATAAAACTATACATGCATGTTAAAACATTTATTAAAATGACAAAAAAATTATTAAAATGGAAAATATAAAAATTGAAAACTAATTTAAAATACTTATATAAACTATAATAGTACCTCAGTGATACTAAGTTCCCTAATCACAACTCGTCCGTTAAGTATATGATGTTTGTGACAGAACAGGAACAACATAATTTTTAAAAACCATGTGAGACAAATTTAACAGGAACAACATAATTTTTTAAAAACATATCAATCTCATTGGAAGCTCTGTTGATCCATGTGAGACAATTTTTTTAAAGAAAAGCTATATAGATTTGTTATGGAAGACTCTAAGGACTTTGGGCTGTTTTTCAAGTCAATGGTCAATTAAACACTATTAAAGCCTAATTAAAAGCACTAAAGAGCAATTAATGATCATTTTCTTTGGGTGAGATACTTCATTGATAGTTAATGCTTTTAACAAGCCTGTGTGTCAAAACACAAAGCGCTCAACATGAATAAAACTGAGCTCACAGAGCTACATACATTTTTTTCCTAATTATATTCAAGCTTAAATATGAAGAAATACTTCTAAAGCAAAATAAAAACTGGATTCATGCATCCGTTTACTAGTTACGCAACTGATTTTCTTGTGCGACAAATTAAATGCATTGTATATTCACACTAAATGGATATTTGTGTCTATTATATCCATTTGGTATAGAAATTGCCATGATGCCTAAAATGAAGGAAATTTGATACAAGACATACACAAATGTAGAATTTTGTCATAATTATGAATTACAATACCAGTAGTGCTTATTTTCATAAAATCTGTTTAAATATAAATGCAGAATTGTTGTAACAAGCACAAACAGATCTACGATAATTAGAGCCACAGTGGAAAAAAAAATATAAATGATAAAATGAACAAAAAAAATATATATATATCATGAATGATTTAAAATTAATGCAATTTGGCTTGAAGAACAACAATGGTGTATTATGTTTTGGTTTAGAATATAACACATATATTTAGCATATAAACGAAAGCCTGTGGCTTCTGTGGCACATTCTTACTAGCACAAATGCTAGACAGGAACATGAGTGCTGGCAACAGGCATAGATACGAACACATATACACACACATATTCTCTGACACATTTCTTCACACACGCAGTTCTCTCTTGGTCTAAAATAAACACGAAGATAAACCACACTTGAAATTATCTTCAGTTCTTGCTACCTCTGACATAATGTTGTTACAATAGAAACCTGTTGCTTTATGCTGCGTTGTAACGTTCAGCCATAACTTACAACTCACTGAAGCTACCAGCAGTCCAGCCCATCTCTTAACGCTCATCATCTGCTACAGTGAGTTGTCTATGCTATTCTCTTATCAGTCTTTCAACGACAACCAAGCCTGAAACTGATCTGCAGTCTGTGCCAGCCGTTATCAATGCTGTCTACCGAGCTGGGTGCTCCATCAGCGTAAAAGACAGTCTGTCAGGGCATTGTGGGATTGATTGTTGTGGCTGGAGTAAGAGGCCCAAGAGACCTGAACCAAGCCCCAAGCCAAGTAAGCAGTTTGCAATTCCTCCATTTTCATTGAGCAGAAGTGAGGTCAAACCCCAGTTCCCCAGTGCATCTTTCAAATACTGTGCTTGTGTGTATATATATTCAGGCCGTTCTGTCTACTGTTTGGATGAAAGCGTTTGTTAAAGTTCTAACACTTTTTGCAATTAGTATTTTATAATACAGTGATTTCAGCACAATTATATTAAGGCTTCATTAGTTTTAGTGCTTTGCCCAACAACCCACTGACCCCTTGCAATGTCACTTTTACATTTATATTGAATTGATACAGCGATATTCCTAAAGTGCGGTCACATTAGTGAAATTTTGTGGGCAAAACTAGGTCCATTGTCTATTGTCAATACTGTAGATATATGAAGCACAGCTCACAGAGAAGTCACTTTCAAACCAAGCATCTTTCTGTTGGTCAGTGTGGCTAATGAGAGTGACCAGCTTGAACACGTTGCGAAATCTGCATAGGGCAATCTTACGCTCTCACGAAAAATAACTGCATTTTGCCCGCGAAAATTCACAGAACACTGGTAAATGTGACCGCACAAGTCAAATATCCTAGTCACTGAAAGGTTGGCAGTGTGAGATATTGTTTACACATTTACTACAATGGCAGCAGTTCATTGGCTTAAACCTGAGCTGGAAAAGATGATTCAGCTGCATGTAATAGATGGGCAGTTTGGCTGACCAGTTAGAGCACAAGCCTTATACACAGAGAGATAGTGATGAGGAGGAAAACAAGGTGAGAACAAGCAGCATTATAGTACAGTATAGCACCTGGTGATGTCAAAAGCCACAGAAAGCTTTGTACAAATTCACACAGTTTTTATGCTGTTATAAAAAATAAAAAAAAGAGTAATAAAACGCATTGTAAACAGTCTGAGTACGATGGGGAGAACAACAAAACAAGAAAATCGAGGGCCTGGAATGTTGTATTATCCAATGATTGAGCCCCAAACACAGTATTTTGTGTGAGTTTTTGTGCATTTGTGTCTTGGAGAGTGATTGTGTGAGCACAGCGTTTGAGGTAAAATCTCTCAATGACCGTAAAATCACAAGCAGCTGAGCAGACGATTTGATTGACTACTCTGTGTTTCTAAGGCCCAGCTCCATACGAAACAAACGCATTACAGTCTATGTAAATTTCTGTGTATGTGGCTGTAAACAATCAAACTGTGTGCATACCTTTGAGTGCATTTTCCAAACGACGGTGTAATCGCCATATTCAATTTTACAAATATGTGACTTGGATGTTGTATTTTGCATTTGTTTTGTTCCCATCAGTGTTACAGTTTACATGTATTACTAATTCTAAGGACGTTGGCATGGATCAGAGATACTGCTGGTATAAGGGAATCTATGAAATCACAAATTTATAAGCACAAGAAAGGACAGCACGCACACTCTATAAATATTCCGTGTCTGAACATTTCTACGATACACCAATTAGATTTGGCACATCATCTTGTTTTCCCACATGAACGCTCCTTTCGATTCCTAGCAGGCTCTAAAGCTTGATGCCCGATGCGATTACCATGCAGCGCACAACTTGGCAATATCTCTTCTTCACTTCTATACATTCTCGTTCTGAAGGGCAGCCGTTGCAGCCGTGGGTTGCGGTGTGAGAGGTTGAAGGTGGAGTGAAGGTACACGGAAATGGTGAGAAGACCGCATGAGCGTGAAGGTAGTAGGACCCTTTGCGACTTGAAAAACAACCACGTTTACCAGTGCAGTCCACAAACCGATCAACGACACAAGGAGACCGTCACATACATAGCCTGCACACTCTGTTTAGTGTGAGAGCCACATTAGGATAAGTGCTTGGGAACCAGTGTATCCCTAATGTTTGGTTACCACTATATGTGTCCTCTTTTATGAAAACTCTCACTTTTCTAGCACTATCTCCTCATATTTGGGTGGAGGATCACTGTAGGGGGCTGTCGTCTCATCGCTGCTGCTCTCTAAGTGGCCGGTAACTTCCTCGTAGGATGGCGGTGGGGTTGCCCCGGACAGGTGGGAAGCCACGGACAAAGACGAATCTTGCACGTACAGGGAGCGATTGTTCTGAGAGTGGCTGGCGTGATGATGGGCATCTTGCGGCATGACTGAAGCCCCGCCCCTCTGGGCACTGCTGACCACCACGCTGGGCCTGTCATTGGCGTGAGAGTTCTCTGAATGCGAGGGAGGGTCCCGGTGCACCAGGATGCGCGGGAGGCTGCGGGCGTTACGGTTAGCCAGATAGCGGTTCTGGGTGTAGGCCGGACGCCGACGTGTGGCCTTCTGCAGTTGACAGCGCCAGATGAGGAAGAGCGCAATGATGATGAGGAGAGCCACGCCCAGTAGGGGCACCACCATGTACACAGCGTCCGGGCGCTCCGAGCGGGAATCAGCATTGCTGTTCACTGTGTAGATGCTGCGGTTTTTCCAGAACTCCATCTATGAATGAAGGGATAAATGGTTAAAGCAGTAAAATGCAGTGGCCTTCTGTGTTTTATACTTATCACTAGCATTCACACACCACCACCACCAGAACACCATTCCACAGTTTTGGCATCTTTTCCACCATTTTTTGTTGTTGTTGACATTCTGCTGTTAAACCTGATTATTTAGTAAATAAGTTAAAATAGTGCTGGCTGATGGCTTTAACAAAAGCATATACAGCACCATCAATTAACAACCTTGAAAAATCACAACAGGCCTCTCTTTAAAGTTAAAACAGTTAAAATATGATTAAAATGTGTATATTTGGGATACATAAACGGCCAGCTAAATTAGTCATTAGGCCATTTTATTCCAAAAATGTGTAAAATATCATATACATTCCTTTTTTTTTCATCACAGAATGCTATTAAACACAATATGTAAATTACGATGTCATGGAAATGGAACTGAGATTTAAAAAAAAAAATGTTCATGACTTTTAAAAAAAATGGCAAAAGTGAGTTTTAAAGGGGTCATATGATGCTTTTTTAAAGATCATTATTTGGAGTATTTGGTGTAACAGAATATGTTGACATGCTTTAATGTTCAAAAAACACATTATTTTTCAAATACTGTACATTAAGGAAAACTTGAAATCGCATCATATGACCCCTTTAAGAGAGGATATTTTCTAAAAGTCCACAGGGCCAAAAGTAACACCTAATAGAAACACCCACTTATGGGTTATAGATCTGTATGTTATGTCTGCCTGTAGGTAAAGCGTGTGGAGTAATTGCTTCGGTTCCTAAGAACTTTGCGACTGGCTCAAATTCTATGACAGCAGATTTCTTACATAAAAGCATCCAAACCTGGCAAGTGCTTGTTCACACATATTGTTCACCCTAATACTGCACTGTATTAGCCAGCAAATTGTTGAAACTGATTTGCTGGTATTTCAAGAAACAATCTGTATGCACAAAAGCACATAAAATCAAAATGGTACAATAGACTTGCATTATTGTTAAATTGCATCCACAAACAAAAAACACAGGAAATAGAATTTGTTTACATCTTTTGCTGATGAAGACAGGATTTACCGTTCGCTCTTTATTTTCAAACACTTCATTGGCCTCCTCAAAGCTGCAGCTCTCCTCAGCACACTCCCTCTCAATGTTGCCCGGCCGGAACTCCTCCAGGAAGCCATTAGCCCGTGGAAAACGTTTGAGGAGAGAGTTTGCATCCTTGCCATTTAGGAACGCTGAGAGATCGTAAGACATCTATATGTTTTAATGGAGGCAAAGGTGTTTCTCTGTTTGTTCCTATATGTGTATGTGTATACATATACGTATTTTTGCCAGTTCATGCCTTTGCCAGTGGATCAGGCCTGACAAATACTCAAAATGGTTTTACGCCATTCCCATAAAATTTGCAATTACTGATAGGAAAATCTTTTTTATCATTATTCTGACTACTATTTTCCATCCATTTATCATTCTGAATCTCATTAAAGTCAAAACGATTTTAAAAAATGAAGCATATTCACAGAAAAAAAAAATCAATAAGACCTATAACTTGCAATTAGAAAATAGATAAATAAAGGTACATTTTAACTTCATGTAGACTTTAAAAAAAAATCTATTTCCTTAATATGCTTCAATATCAGTATGGGCTTTTTCAATGCTGAAATGAGTCACAGCTCAAGAAGTGCTCGAGGAACCCAAAGAGCTTTGACACATCATCTATTACATAAAGGTTTTATGTCATTTAACAAGGTGTGTCAAGAACTGCTGCACTATTTTTAGATCAGACAGAAATATGAATGGACCCTATGCTAACTTCAGCGTTTTAAGATGAAGTTGATTAAATCTGGTCCTTACCTGCTGCCATACTACCACAAGAGAACTCAATCTGAAGTATTTTGACCTGGGGAGAAGAAAAGATGTGTTTAAAGGGTTGGAAAAGGTTTTCTTATGTTGCACACTTGTTGTTATCGTAATTGTGGCCATTTGTTTTTATCAAATGACAGACAAAACAACAAATTAACTGAGAATCAAATATGAACGCCATGCTTTCCTTGCAATATTCTAAATTATGACATAAAAAGAAGACTGCTATCTGGAAGCTGATATCTTTACTATATAAATCTATATAATCTCTTGCCCGTCTAAAATACGCTTATGGGGGAGGGAGGAGGGCGGGGGAGGAGGTTCCCATAGTAACGGAGCGGGTAGATAGAGAGATGCGCGAGCTAAATTTATCACTCGAGCTCGCTCCTTAACGAATTAATTTAATTCGCGAATTACTATCGCTTTATCGCACATGAAAAATATCCGCCCAACGCAATTTAACGTTTAATAACGTCTTGAAACAGCATAGAATAAAAAAAAAAACGACAAAAAATAAGACATACAAAGCATACTTGAAATGCTAGATTTTCTCTAAGTGCAAGTGTTTTTAGAAAATGTTGACAAAACAATTCAATGTAGGCTAATTACATTTCCTAAGGCCATTCCTAAAAGCAAATAGCTTTCTTAAAAGCGAATAAAATATTAATAAGACACACATATTCTGTTTGACTATAGCAGCTGACAGTACTCCTTAGAGGGGCTCTCAGTGCGATTAATGTATATTTATGATAGATGTATATTTATAAACGCAGCGATTTTTTTAGCTGCCATGGAACAAAACAAAATAGTGTGTATATATGTTACTCAGAGATGCTAAATAATAATAAAGCCTACCTTCCAGGCTGTTGCAATTGCTAGTCCATCCCTGTTTCCAGCTAGGGAGCACGCACTGAGTCACGGATGGCGTTTGATTGACATGCGGATGGACCAATAGGAGTCACGGATTTCCCCTGTTTGTCCAATGAAATGTTACTGTTGATTTCGTAAACGCAAAGTCATACTTCTTGGGGAATGGGGAAAAATAAACTGGGTAGTGTAGTCTGTGTCTCTGCACACGTATACGCTTCTCCGAAACAGTTTCAAGAAACCTTTGGATGTTTATGCCCAGACATTAATGTTGTATTCCTATCGTTATAAATGCGGAGTGCCACCAAGTGGCATGTTAATTAGAAAAAGAGGATGATAGAGTTAGCATAGAGTCAGGGGTCTCTCTCGATGCCGCGCCTTGAGTTAAAAGACAGCATTACCCACAATTCCCCGCTCTTGTCTTGCCGCTTGTTATGGAGCTTGATTTTTGTAATATCAGTAAGCCACATGGCTGCAAAACGACCTTTAAACTCATATTTAAATGTAACAACCAAATTGCTGTACCATCTTAAATGTCTTAATATTAGTCTACAACAACAGTTTGGAATTTTCAGTAGGCCTAAATAAGATATGTTAGATATATTAGACATAGCAAACTGAAATTTCTCTGGCATGTGTTTTATTATTATTATTATTATTATTATTATTATTATTAATGCACTACTGTAATGGAGGAGTAGGCTCACAGGTAGGTTTTCAGTCCAGGGACCATGGAGAACAGAGATATGAAGCAGGGTTCCTTGCTGCATATTATAGAAATTAAGCGTTGCATATATGCTTTATGATGCTGACAAGCCATTCAAATAATCATTGATGAGTCATATATTTGTACATTACATTTAGCTGAACTTTGAAAGTGAAAGCTGAAAGTGAATTTAATATTTTATTTATTATACTATAGGCTTATTTTCGTTTTTTCACAAAATTAGTTTGAGGTCAAACAATAACCCTTAGACACACTGCAGTACCGTCATAGGCCCCCTAGGGGTCACAGACCCCCTGTTGAAAACCCATGATGTAACTACAGTTATGCTGTGAGACTGTAATGGATAATGCGCTTCCCTGTGTGAAAAATTAGTACACATAATTGTATTGAATGTCCACTTGTGTACATAAAATTGTAAAAGTATATTTAAAAAAAAAAAATAATACAAAATTTATTAAATAAAAGGCCACTTAAGCGAATCTAAAGAGACACTTTCATGGCTATATTTCTTAACACAGTTTTAGAAAGTGCACTTTGCAGTAATGTCAAATTAAAAGTTTTACTTTAAATTACATTTTAAATTCTAAATCACTTAATTACTATTTATGTTTTATTAATCCTTGATCATGCTTTAAAGAAGTACACTTATTTTTATGTTAACTAAAATGCTAAAGCACATATAAAGTACTTTGTACTGTAGTGTTATTTGATATTACATTTAAAGTGAATATATTTTAAATGTACTAAATTGCAACTTCGTTAAATGTGTAATTACAAATACTTTTAAATACATGATATACACATTTCAATGAAAAATAACAAGTATGCTTGTCAGTACATACACTTTAACCATATTTCAATGACAATAGAAGTAATTATGAAATGACATATAAAGATGTACTTAAGTCCTAATAGGTATTTCAAAAAAGCACTAGTTGAACTAATTGCATTTAATATAAAGCAATTTAATTTAATTGTAAATAAAATGCAATCAAATGTCCGAAAACATTACATTCAGTTCACACTAAAGTATATTCATTTAAAGTATATTCATTCTGTAATAAGTATTCATTTTTGAAGTATGCTATAGCTAAAATTTAATTCTTTTTCTCAAGGATTTTCATATCTTTACAGTATTTTTTTACACAACTCTTTTATGGATTTTTTTTTAAATTATTATTTTAGAGGCAACTTTTAGTAGGTTTTGCGAATGATTTGACAGAATTTCCTTCAAAGGGAAATGGATGTATAACTTATAAAGTGAACAAACATATTTTAGAGGGTTATCAGCAATCAACGGCTTTCCGTTGCCAAAATATTCTGACTTGGGCTGCATGCCCTAAAGAAATTTTTCCTGGCTCATTGGTAGGTATAACCACTTCAATGTCCCCCTTTAAGAAACTGCTTTTTCTCCTGTTTCTATTCCTAGAAGTAGCAAAGCCATCAAGTCAGGTCTCTGCTGACCTGTGACTTCAACAGAAGAGTCCAGTCTTGAAAATCTTACATTCTTAGGGGAACATTGTAATAGTAGACAGTGTCCTTTATCAAACCTCTTTTGTTTGAAACCTGGACAAACAGCAGAGCCCCTTCTAGTCAACAGATAGGGTTAGAAAACATCAAAGGACTCAAGTGAGTTCAAAAAAGAGACTTATCAGAAGCACAAATCCCAAACAGACAAGGTTTACACTCATTTAAATATAGATTTTACTTTAAATCAAAAGTACAAAAGTATAAAAATATGCCATAAATACATATATATATATACATAAAATGCACATAAATCATAAGTTAGGGATGGGTAATAGAATACAAATAGAATTTGTAAGGTAAGAACCCTGAGATCGCTCTGAAACAACATTTCCCAATGTGGGACTGCATTTTCACTGTTTTTAACAGGAATTACTTTTATGCAAGACATATCTGAATCTGCATTCATGTAATTGATGTTTCCTGCATAAAACGATCAGTAAAATCACTCTGGTTGTGCTCTAGACGCTCATAAGAAACACCATGTCCATGCACTGAATTACTGATGGCACGACTTCTCTAATAGAGCACAATGGGGCATTATCCAGTGTTGATGTTAAATTTATGAAATTGATCAAAGTCACAGCTGTGGAGACAGATGAGGTTGAACATTCAGTTGTAACTGGTGAAGTTAGGTCTGTTAAGTTTAAGACACTCCTCAGCATCGCTGTCGTTGTCTTCGTCACAGCTGTCCTCCTCTTCCTCGCTGTCTGACTCATCGTAGAAGTTTATGGTGGCCTGCACTGGGAAATTTCTGAGCAGGGCCTTGCCATCACTGAAGAGGTAGTCGTATGACTTCGATTTGGGCCAATACAGTCTAAAGTATAAAGAAATAAAATGTTAAATACAAACTACGCAAACAGAGTTCGGAAACGCATTTTTTAGCATGGTAAAATAAGCCTTATTTGGAATGGATTAGGATTTTAGGGCCAAAATAAAAGCATGTTACAAAACAAAACCATTGCTCAAGCTAAATGAAATGCTCACTGACCTGACAGGGTGCTGGAAGGACTGCATTTTGCCATCTGTTGTAGTGTTACTGGGCACTTCTGGCCTGGAGTAAGGCTGGAAAGAGTGAGAAAAGACGTGTAAGACCACATGCACCAAACACAACTCAAACAATGCTTCCTGTCCAGTGTTTATGAGGTGATATCACTGCCAGCTTTGTGGGTGTATAACACCCTGGGCAGGATGCAAAAGCTGTGACATGGAGGGTGTCAGGCTAAAGTGTTTGTGGGAAACTGGCTCCAACTCCCTTTCCCAAACCTAGAGGTGTCTGCCTAAATCTTGGCAAGCGATCGCTTGTTCTCTGGGAGCTGTTTTCTCCTACACCTCGTCTCTGGGCACAGACTCAGTGTTCACACATTTAGACAGTGGTGCCATATGGCTAAGTGTCTCAGCGCTAGAGCTGCTCTCAGTTTGCCTTTGCGTCACTATATGGGCTTGGTGTCAACGAAACACCTCCACAGTCACACAATCTGCTGCTTAATGCTCACCACATGCCTGTCTGTCACCTTAAAGCTACCTGCTGCTCTAAAAAAAACAACAACTGTATGAGCCTCCACACACCAAACTGAAATTTCCGGCGCTGATAGAGGTAGCTGCAGGAGTTCATCACGGCGCCATGTGTTTTCTGAACTTAGTAACATTCCTATAGAGATGGGAATTCTTTTGAAATATTAAGATTGCAGTGATGAAAAAACTTACACAAGCCAGCTTGGTTCTCCTGCATTCAATTTGTGCATCCTTTCTGGTCACGAGCCACGGTCTCCACAGGGAAGCTGGGCTGTGGATAGAATGACAGTAATATTTTAGATGTAAAATCTAACAGGCATCCTCTATATAAAGAATAGAATAGAATAGAATAGAATAGAATAGAATAGAATAAAGCAAATAATGCTCACCTGCTGGACTGCTGGATGTCAGTGTGCATTGTATTGGAAAGAGGAGCAATAACGCACACAGAATTAATTTCTCTTTTTTTGCAGGGCGTTAATCCCAAATAGTACTTTTTACTAGATCTCCGCGCGGTGGACGCCTTGGATGAGTCGTTATCCTCCGGAGGGAAGTGGATGAATGAAGGGGAGTCGCTCTCGAGGTTTATATGGAGCTGGAGCTGGAGCTGGAGGGGCAGGGCTGGACGATGGTGCCGATGCCAAATGATCTGAGGATTTTAGATGTAAAATCTAACAGGCATCCTCTATATAAAGAATAGAATAGAATAGAATAGAATAGAATAGAATAAAGCAAATAATGCTCACCTGCTGGACTGCTGGATGTCAGTGTGCATTGTATTGGAAAGAGGAGCAATAACGCACACAGAATTAATTTCTCTTTTTTTGCAGGGCGTTAATCCCAAATAGTACTTTTTACTAGATCTCCGCGCGGTGGACGCCTTGGATGAGTCGTTATCCTCCGGAGGGAAGTGGATGAATGAAGGGGAGTCGCTCTCGAGGTTTATATGGAGCTGGAGCTGGAGCTGGAGGGGCAGGGCTGGACGATGGTGCCGATGCCAAATGATCTGAGGTTGTTTTAAGAGGGGGTTTGGTGCTGTTTGCCAAATGATGGGGATAGAGACTGCTACGGACATTTTGGTGTAAAGACTGCTCCAGTTGTATAAACAGTGCGCCCCAGCGTGAGGGTGAGAAATCTGGTACCGTGAGGTTATTGCAACAGCACGGAGGGGCAAACTTGCACACCATCTGCGAGAAAGACGACGGGGGGCGACACAGGAGTGGGGTCATATATAATAGGCTATAGGCTA